ATCAGAATATAGAACAAATTGCCTAGGAAGCAAATATGGACTCCAGTGGTTCAAAGCTCGGCATATTGCATAGAACTACTTATCATAAGTTGAATAGTTCTTCCAAGATACATTTAGTTTCTCACTAAATAAAGCAATTGGCTTTCCTTCTTGACTTGGGATAGTACCAATCCCCACATTAGGGGATCACATTCAACTTCAAAAACTTTATCAAAATTAGGAAGAAAAAAATAGGGGCTTCAGTTACCTTATGTTTGATATGATCAAAGCTTTTTGTGCCTCATTTGTCCATTAGAAACTGTCTTCCTTTAAACACTAGTAACTGGTGCAACAATACAGCTAAACCCTTTGATAAATTGACGACGGAAAGAAGCAAGGCCATGGAAGCTTCTAATGTCATGTATTGTTTTTGGTATAGGCTATTCAAGATAGCCTCAACTTTAGTGTGATCCATTTTGATCTCCTATCCAGAAACAACATAACCCAAAAATATAAGATTGTCGGTGAAAAACCTGCATTTCTTCATGTTGGCGTATAACATTTCTTCTTGCAAAGTGTTGAAAACCTCACGAAGATGATGCAAGTGTTGCTCTTCATTTTTGCTATAGTTGAGAGTATCATTGAAATATACCACAACGAGTTTCCCAATGAAATGTTTGAAAACATGATTCATTAAGTGCATAAAATGTGCTTAGAGCGTTGAAAAGACCAAATGGCATAACCATACTTTCATAAAGACCATCACGTGTTTTGAAGGCTGTCTTCCACTCATCTCCCAATGTCATTCGAATTTGATGATAGCCACTTCAAAAATCAATCTCCGAAACTATAGATGCTCCAAAAAGTTGGTCAAGAAGATCCTTCAGTCGAGGAACAGGAAAGCGATAGTCAATGGTGTTAGAATTTTGGTGTGACCCGAATTCCTTGTTAAAGTAATTGAAGAATTCTAATTGAAGTGCACTTCATGAAGAATTTAAATTTGGAATATTATTGAAATCCTATGTCATGTTGAAGTTCTATTTTGGAAGTCCATTGGGAATTGAAATTTGTTTTGGACTCAATTTTATGTTATACTACTTCATTAACAACTCTACTAGGGGGGTTGGACATCCTCTACTTATTCCATATAAATACTAGGTTTTTCTATACAATTTTATGGTGTGAAAAAATAGATTACTAGAATTATAGGATCCATTGTAATTTTCTCTCTTCTCCATTATTCTTGAGTCAATAAAATCACTTAATTCACCTTTCATATTCTTGTCTTCTTTATTCTTTTACTTGATCAAATACTTCATTATTATTTGTCATATAACTTCAACATCTCAATCCGGTGGTTTGTTCCACAACAATTAGTATCAGGGCTATTATGGTATCTTGATTGTTTTGCAACAATTG